CCGGACTGTCCAGGTGAACACTGGACACCTGGCAACCCTAGGCATGTGCTCAAAATGAAATGAGAGGTTAAGGCTCAAACATTGTGACACACTTTCCCTCACAACGTCAAAACCTTTTGTGACATGGGGAGGGAGCTGTGATATGGCTGCCCTTGCATTCACTCAATACCTAGGTCCATTAATGTGGTGGAAGGGGCCCTCAATCTCTGAAAGGGGCAACCTTAAATGGTTTGTCCATCCACCTGGTGCTGTGAATGGAGCTCCCTTTTGGGTATGAAATATGATAATATTTGATGTGCCCTTTGAGTGCTGTTGGGGACTGAACCACGGGGTAGAGGAGCCTTAGGTTCCTTATTAGTACTTTATTCCTTTTTTTTAACCTTAACCCTTGCTCCCCACACACAAATATGCCACATGTGCTTTATTTGGGTAAAACCATAAGAAAGCCAGAATACCTTAAGCCTAAGTGGCAAAGGGGCCTGTGCCACTGGGCCACTCTTACCCTGCCTTGTGTTCTGCACCTCATGACCCACTTCTGCTATTGTCACTCAACCTCCCCCCAGTCTTATTGTCACCTGGCAATCAGACCCAACTGCTCAAGCAAGGTGCCGAGTGGGCCCCAAAGCGTATCTCGCACATATGCTTGAATCCATAGGTGCTGAAAAACAACCATTGTTATTAAATGCCCAGTAAATATTATTATGTGACTCATGCCCCGCCTGAGCTTGTGGTGGAAGGACCAGGCCACTGTCCATGTGAACTGCTCGTCCCTGCAGAGATCTCCACTCTAACCACAGCGTGTGATGAGGTACGTCCCACCAGGTCCCCATTTGTGTTGCTGCCCTTAATGGAAACTGCTCATCATAGTTAAACCAAGACCTGCCCCCAAATGTACTGTATGCTCACCTGGTGCCATCCATACACTTAAACAAGGCCGGGCTTCTCTCCTGCCTTGTCTGCTGCATGGTGAGAAAGAGACTTCCGACATGAGGGCTTGCACTTTTAACGCTTTCTGCCCTTTCGTTCCCAGAGGGTGAGCCAGCACTGCAAAGCTGACCGCCACCCATCTTTCTGCAGCGGTTTACTGAGCTTACTCTTCCCCTTCCCACTCCTGGCCACAAAACATCACTGCCCTCTTCTGGCAAGCCTGGACAACATCTTCTCCTCTTCCTCCTCCCCCCACAAATTTCAGTGCAGGGAGATCAGTTTTTCACAGGTACAGAATTACTTGCCAAAAACTATTTTAAGAGGGTCTCATTCTTTTCCAAGTGAAGTGTTTCTTACTCACTGTTTTAGACCATTTTTCTCCTCCTGTAGAAGTAGATTTGTAGTAGGTACTGTATTACCAAGTTTCACAAGTGGCTGTTAGCATGCTGGTCTCTAAACTATGTTACCTTTTTGATTCCTTGTCACAGAAGACTCAGAACACAACTTCTTTCCTCTAGATCACAGTTAGTGCCTCTTTTTTATCTCTGCCTTTTGCATTTCTTGCTTGCTCGTCTCTACATATATTCTTTTCTTTGTTTTAACTACTGGTCTTAAGGAATCTCAATTGTTGCATGGTTATTTGTGGCTTTGGCTTTCTCTCTCTGGTCTTGCGTTTCATTCCAGCCACTACTAAACTAACTGGCAGCTAGCTTCTCACTCTGGGCTCTTAGATGCTGCTGCAAGGCAGAAAAACCAGTTCTATCCAGATGGCACTGTGAGAGATGAGTTGTGCATAATTACTTTTCCAGTCTGCAAGCAGAAATTTTACATCTTTTGTAACTATATGTATTGTATTTACTGTTAAAGGCATTTCCAGACTTTATAAAGCACAGAACACTATTTCAAAATTATTCCACAATACAGCATGAAAATAATAGGTCCATTAAAATACTTACTATATCACAATGTTAAAGTGCCTACAAAGTGACGTGAGTTGACATATATATTACCATGATAAGTCATAATGAAAAGATTGACTTAAGTCCAGCAACCATATTTGTCTAGAATTGAAAAGCACAAACACCTCCTCTCCACACTTGACAGAGACTGTGTATGGATTTTTGTTATTCATATTAAATATCATTGAGCAGCTAGTGGCCATAAATCACACATGTGAAAATGCAAGATAGCTGCTTTTTCCCATCAGCAAAGGCATGTTTGCATTTTTGTTAATAACAACTTTGATCCTTCTACCATTGGCAATGGTCATTGAGAAATCCTGACATAAAGAAGGTATCTGCAAGATAAAGTTCTACAAGGGATGATTAGCAGCACTTAAGTTTTCTTTTTGTTGAAAGGAAGAATCCCTGATTGAACAGTGCATTGAATGATATGACAAGCAAGTACTTGATCCCTGTCCAGCTGGAAAGGAATTGTATTCATCAGCAGCTTTTTAGCTAAGGATGTCTTTATATTTTCACTCTTTGTTTGAGTCTCTCCAGATCCTCCCTTTACTTCATGTCAGCACTATATAGTAGGTATGCCAAGTGGTTTTGAAATTTAAATTACAGTCTCTTTTTCAGATGTTATTGGAAAGAACATGTAATTTATAACCACGTGTTAGGAGTACAGGATGTTCATGGTTCACTGCCAATTCTTCTTTTGTAAAGTTAATATAACTTTCATAAAACACTTACACACTTGTATATTTCATGGTAAAGATTTTTTTTATCTCATAGACTAATGTAAAGATTTATTAAAACCATTTTTAAGAGGAGTGTCAATAGTTTTGCAGCTGAGTGTAATTTTGTATTCCCACTAGATGACAGTCGGACTGAAAATGACAGTAACAGCTTTGTTGATTTAGCACTAAAAATAAAAGGATTCTTTCAAGTGATATAAAGCTCTAATACTCTGAGTGTTCTGAAACACGCTTGAGACCCTTAAGTAGAGTTGCAATGAAATGCTCACTAGCCGTGTGGATACCGGTGAATAAGTCTTAGCATGCTCACTGTCTCTAACCTATTGTGTCTGAATATGGGAACCATCAGAGGTATGGGTAATGTCATGGGATGTTTAGTAGTGGCCTGGACAACACCCACTGAAATCAATAAGAGCCATTCCCCTGTCTTCAATGGGATTTGGCTCAGGCCTTGATATTTGTTCCACTGGGACCTATTTGCTTCACTTTAGGACTGATCAAAAGTTACTATTATCTGGCGTATGAGAAAAGAGCTGTTGGTCATAGTTCAATTGCTGAAGGCTGTTCACATCACAAACCCAGAGTGACAATTCGTAGCTTTGCAGGAAGTCTTGGCAAAGAGGATGAGAATTAAGCAGCCACGGACCTGGAACTCTTTCCTCCCTGTAAGAGAGAGATAGGCACATGAGTGGTGAATCTACATTGCTCCTGCTATGCACTACTATTCTTTAGATAAATACCTCCCACGGTCTTTCTCCATCTATGATTGGTCATTAAACCAACCAACAGTGCATCACATAACTTAGAATAAGTCTATGTGCTTTTCTAATTCTGGGTTAAGTAATTTGCAGTTGAATTGTGGAGAAGCATAATGAATCTGGTAATATATGGCTGCGTAATTTATATATGATGACATAAACCAATCCCTTGCATCAGTGTAGGTGATTGGACACTGTACTGTTGTAAATGATGCAGGTAAATGGAGAACTGTCCTTCAGTGTAGACAAGGCATTAGAGTTGATAGAAAGTAGGAGCACTGTGCCTGTGTTAATTTTATAATGCCAGAGTACTGTGCTCTCTGATCCAGCTTATCACAGATATTTAGACTTCTTATGCCTTTGAGGATCTGGGCCTCTGTTCTTATGATAACTGTACATTGCCCAGTTATCCTAAATCTCTGAGTTACTGCTTACTATTATTTTTTTTTAAAAACCACACCATTTATGCTACCTCGTTTATTGTGGCTCCACCTCTGCTTTGAATGTTTTTCTTTCTTTCTAAAACAAATCTTTCCCAGTCCACAGGTAATAAAGATGGGAATGGGGAAGGACTGCACTGGGTAATATTGTTCCCTACGTGGATGTTTATGAAAAACAATTGGAGTTGGCAATATTTAATTAAACCTAAATCTGATTTAGAGTGAATTAAATATTAAAAATGTTGATTTGTTGTATTTTTCCATTTTATCCCACATGATAAAATAGAAATGGAGCTCCTTAGAGAATCAATTAGTGTGCAAAGAAAGAAGAAAATAATTATATTAGGGGAGTGAAATACAAAATTGGTGAAATTAGAATTTGTTTATAAGACAATATGGAGTGACTGCTGCATCCTGACCCAAATCATAGCAGCCTGGTCATAAAGGGTACGTCTACACAGTGGCACTTAACAGCACACCTGTTATTTTGGAATATATTCAAAATAATAGGCTTCTTCTTCCGGCTACCTGTAAACCTCATTGCACGAGGATTAAGGAAGATGCCAGAATAGCGATTTATTTTTAAATTAGTGCTGTGTAGACAGTGTCAAATTTTGAAATAAGCTACGAAATTTGCGTAGTTCAAATTGTGTAGCTCCTTTCGAGGTACACTCTATTGTGTAGCTGTACCCAAAAGATTTTAAAATAAAATCAGGTTCTTAATGCTTATTAAATTGGGTTTGTGTAATTCACCAGCTTGTGAACTCAGAGAGAGTTTGAGAATCTTTCAACTTTTTCTTACATTACCATCTTTTGAAAGCTACTTTCCACAGGGTAAGGTGGGACAGTCACTTTATTGCCCTTTTGGTGCTGCAACCATGGTTTCTCAGAGTGCTTTGGTTAATATTGGTCACCACAGGAGGGAGGAGGGTCTTAGCTCAAACCCTAATTGTTTTTTGTCACAACACAACACAACAGCAAAAGTTGGTATGTGCTGAAAACTGAGGTCTAGGAAGATCATAACAGATGTGCATCAAACTCTCAATCAAAAGGCCCAAGACTGATGGAGTATGGAGTTGAGAGGACCTTCTGAATTCAGAACATTTCTCCAACATATTAGTGAGACGGCATCTTGATAGAGATTTTTTCACTGTATCTTCAAATTCCGCAGTACCTGTTCTGTAACTAAACTGTGGTCCTCAAGTCCCAACATGGTCCATTCACTATAAACACAGCACTTTCTGAAACAAAGTAGAAAGTGCAATAAGCCAGCCCATTAAAAACTCTGTTAAACAACTACTTGTGAGAAACACAAGTAAATGATGGTCTTTAAATAAAGATATGTGACAATTTTACCAAAAAATCTGAGGAGAGTCCCATAGAATAGTACATCACACTTATTTTATATCCACACTTTTTTCAGGTCTTACAATAAAATCATTTCAGTATTTGTATTTTTATAAAATATTTAAAGTAAAAATAGAGTAAAAAAGGTATCACAGAGCACTTATCATAACTTTGACCCTTCTGTTCTGCTCCAGATACAAGAATAGGTGAAATAACATTATAAAGTTTGTTCTTTGACACCAATGCTGTAAGGTTGTCAGTATAGAAAAAAACTTAATGTGCAGTATTAGAGCAGAAAACAAAGAGGGAAACCACATTTTTTTCTTATTCTGTTTTAAATCAAACACACATTTTCCAGCCATCTCTTCTATGCACAGTGCTTTCTGTTTGTACCTTGTACTTGTGAGCAGTGAAGTGTAAACCATTATACTGGATCTCCAAAGAGAAAGGGCTGTTGTACTTGGTATCAGGCTCAGGCAATCTCTGGGACTGTTGAAGTGAATAAAGGGATGATTGTTAGGCACAGGAGGGACTGGATTCTGCATTGCTTTGCACTTGATTGGTGTAGTCATTTAAATGTGTATAAAGTCAGGTTGTGAGATGCTATTGAATCAGAGAGTGTTTACATGCTGCGTAAGTGTGAACGACTTTAAAATGTGTAAGGCCTAGGAGAACCAAGTGGATGTAAGTGACAGTATTCTAACCTAAAGAGTGGAAGAAAAAATGGGGAGAAGGGAATTCACTTACGCAGTATATCCTATAACCAAGCGCAACAAGCAGACAGGAAATTCTTCTTGTAGCCTAGAAATCTCACGTTTATAAAGAAAATCCTGTTCTGAAACAGTAGTTACCAGATTACAATGGAATCTTGTACTGCTGCAGTGGGGATTCCTTATGTTAAACAAAACTGCACAAAAGAATCCATCTGCAGTGCATATGTACAAAAACACACACAAACACACACACACACATACTTCCCAAGAAGTAGCCTACTGTCAATTTATCAGTAAACCATTTACATATGTACAGACATAGAGCACTCACATAACAAACGATTATCTGGAAAATCATATTTGTGAGAAAGAAAATGCATGGATTACAAAATGTACCAAATAAAATGATGAAGCTTTCCATACCACATTTTAGGGTATTTTTTCTTGCAGGTTATACATCCATAAGGAGCCACTTGCTAGATAACAAATCACGAGAAGACACAGAAGGTACGTCTACTGTGGCACTATTTTGGGATACTTCCAGTATCCCAAAATAGCTATTCTATGTCTTTTAAACAAGCCCATTATTTCGAAATAGCTTTTGAAATAATAGCCTCACTATTCCAATGCCCCTATAAACCTCCTTCCACGAGAATTAAGGGATGTTTGGGAATAGCGGTTCATTCCAAAACACTTTCGAAAAAAGCTACGCAATTTGCATAGCTCAAATTGCGTAACTTATTTCGAGCTATGAGTGCAGTGTAAACACACCCCAAGAAAATATTTGAAAATGCCAAACATTGCACAGTCCAGTATTACTGCAACTAAAGCCACATCTCTATCGAAAATAAAGACATTTGATATTTCTTTTTCAAGGCGATTTGAATTGTGTTAAATAGTTTACTACACACATAATAATGGTTTTATTTTTTCTTTGATAAATATAGTGTCTCCATGTATAGAGGAGAAACAGTATGGCTGTTTGCATTCACAGCTTTCATTAGCCATTTTGTAATGCTTTGACTGATTTGTGGCCATTTGACACTTGCTTTTAGTTTGCTTTCTATCCAATGGAAGAACATAAAGGACCTGATTGTGCAGCTCTGGTAGATATTTTTCTCCTCCAAAATGTCAGACAAGCCCCTGCATACATTTTTTTGAGACATAAGCTCAAGAGGAGCTTAGGGGGTCGCAATCTAATATCTGCATGTGTAGATGGCCTTACACAGCTCTATGGATGAGGGTGCTCGAAATTATGCCCCTTAAAGTCAGCAGCTGAAAGGGCTGAGGAGGTGGAAAAAAACATGTGGTCTTCCTTGCTCCCTACCACCAGAAGCCTACCTCCTGCCCATCCCCAAAACGCTCTCTATGGTGAGCAGGTGGCAGAGAGATGGCCATGCTGGCTTTATGCCACTTAAGGATTTCCATGTGATGAACAAATGCTCAGTTGCCTCTTTAGTGTAGTTATGCTGCCTAGGAACCCAGAAGTGGAGCTCAAGATTGATCTCATTACATTGTAAAGTACATAGCCAACACTGGAGCTTAGAATGTAGCAGTTAGATCTCCATTGGGCTTTTTTTTTTTTTTTTTTTTTTTGAACTCACTTAATTTAGGATCTGACTCACTGGGATACTTAAGAACATATCTATATATAGTGCCACTCATTCATGAGGAATCAAGAGCCTAATTTAAGCATGTGAGCAATCTCAAGGAAATGATCAGACTGAGTCCTTAAAGTTAAGTGTGTGCTTACATACCTTGCTTAATCACAACTATAGTGAATATTATCACAGCTTATTGCCCACTAATTATGAATTCAAGAATCTGTACATATACAGTTTTATAAAAGTAAGGAATCCTAATAAGCATAGGGGTGATCTTCTCCATGCTAGTTCAGACTTATATAAATAATCACCGAAACTATCTTAAGGTGTTTGGAAATGTTTTTTGTTTTAAAAGAAACGTTAGAAGATTAAACCACACATGTAACATTCCGCCCGTCGTGTCAAAATGCAACTGATAATTGCCACTTTTTAACCAGCTCAAAAGAGGCTCTGACCATTTTTCCTTTGCAGGCAGTTCTTATTGTTGCTTTTGATGTTGACGTCATTTAATAGAGATTTTTTTTGCCTTTAGGAATTGTTTCAACTTGTTCATTCTGTCTTCAATTTAACAAAACTTTTGAAAATAAAACTGTAAATAAAAGATATAGGATGGTTTTATAAAAACGTGAATTATATTTTTTAGCTAGAATTGTTTATGATGATGGTTTCATAATATATAAAACATATGGACCACCAAAAATTCAGATGTCATCGTTTTGGTCTTGTGATTTATGAGATGATGCAATTTACATTTTATTCACATCTCCCATGCTCTTTTGTATCCTCTCCCATTTTAATACTTTACTGTGGCAATAGCAAGGATGTGAGCAAAATGCATTGCAGTACCAGGGTCATAGTATTCATAGAAAAACATTAAGAAATGCTGAAAGCAAGCTCCCAAATAGAAGACAACTGGAAATGTTATAATAGAAGGATAATAGGAGACCTACTGAGCTGTTCGCTCTGTTTTTATTGGCAGTTGTGCACCACAATATGGTTTCATTTGTAAATTCTTACCCTACATCTTATTTGGGTGGATATATTGTTTGAGGTACTCAGATACCATTCCAATTAATGTGGGTAGAAGTTTGAATCAGGAATCACTGAGATTTTACCTGGAGTGGTAATTTAATTTATGGAGATTGCCTATCTCCTAGAACTGTAAGGGACCATGAAACGTCATCCAGTCCAGTCCCCTGCCTTCACAGCAGGACCAACTACCATCCCTGACAAATTTTTACCCCAAATAGTCTCTGCAAAGATTGATCTTAAAATGCTGGGTTTAGCAACCCAATGCTCAAACCACTGAGCTATCTCTCACCCCGAAGTCCAGCTAATGTCCTCAGAGGAGTTAGTAGAAATTTTCAATGCATAACTGTGTAGAAACAAATATAAACGGGGTACCATTACACATGGATATTTACAACTTGAAATGCCGAAGTTAACTGGTATTTTGCATTCTGAGTATAGGAGAATATTACATAAACCAAGATGAACTATCATGTTGAGATGAGCACTCATTTTTAATGGCACCCACTGTAAAACATTAATAGGTGATTGAAGATGGTTGGGATTTTTATCCTGCATTCCATCCTTTTACTTGAGAGTTTGATTTCACTCAACTGTTCAGTTGAATATTTAAGTTGCTGAACTGAAAATATGTGCTACTCAAACCTATCTGTAAATGTCCTGCTAATTAGTCTCACAAATTCCGATCAGGTGTTCACTCCCACTAACTAATTTGCTGCCCAGCAAAAGATACTAGTGCTGAAATTGTCATCAGGGAAAAAAAAAGTTGAGAAATCTTTGATCCTCTTTTCAGCCAACCTCTGCTTTGTGGGTGAAAGGGAGATCAAACACAAAGAGACGTGTGTTCTATGCTATGTTATAGGAATCCAATACTCTAAGAATCATCTGTAAGTTAAACTAGGAAATCTGTCAAAGAGACCACGGCTAAGGAGAGACCATAAGTAATAAGATATGCAAAAAAAGATGTTTTCTTACCGTCCTCTACTAGATGATTTCATCTGAAGTTGATATGAAATATCATCACTCTAGATCTATCTGCCTAGCATATTATGTTTTGCCTTCTATAGTTACAGCATAGGTAAGATGGTACCATTAGATAGGTTTATGAACCCTACCATCTTTTCATGAGGTCATTTGTAACCATCATCATCCCTGGTATCTCCGCTTCTCCTATACTGTTGGTTGTGATTCACTGCAGAAAATGTGGGCAAACAAAGTATGTCTGATTGGCTATATTTGCCATGCCCCAAGATCCAGAAGACAAAGAGTTAACTCTTTGCAATTAGTGGCATGTATTTTTTCCTTGAATAATTAAGGCTGTATAACCACCCCTAGTTTGGATACAGTTATGCCACCGGTATAAAGATTCTTACTCTCATATAGTAAAAGCTCTTTTATACCTACATAGAACTACATCCACACTAAGGATATTGTACTGTAAACTAAAGCAGTACAACTTTGTGTGCAGACAAGACCTTAGATAGAGAAACTGGCTCTTACATAAGATAGCTTCCCTCCCCCCCAATCAAGTGAGGTACATGAAAGTAAAATAACTAGTAGGAACACCCTTTGGACAAACCATGAGACTTATAAACAACTGATTTTTATTGTAACTTAACATAGACCTTTTCATTTTCCTGCTTGTTTACAACCCTATTAATTTCTAGTTAAGGCTTTTTCAACTTAAAGTTGTGAAAAGGAAAAAAAAAAAAAAGGAAGAAATTTTCTCTCTTACCAGCAAGAAACTTTTGTTGGTAATCTGCTTTAACTGACTCTTCTTGCTTATGATGTGTTCACTGAGAAAATCCTTTTGCATGTTGCTTTAGAATGAGACTTCTGACCACCACATAAGCTTCTGCATGTGTGTGTTACTGGTTTGATTTTAGGAATATGTTCAACAAACACATAGCTATGGTTGAAAGTCTGATTCAGTGGTATCAACCCAACAGAAGCCACTGTATCTTGGGGATTGTACGTATTGTGAAATAGATGTGTAGTAAAGATTTCAAAAGGAATGTAGCCCTAGGATGTGTTAAGTTACAGTTTGGGTAAGTTCTATAAATTTTCCTCATAGGGTACGTCTACTCTGCAAGCTTCTTTCAAAATAAGCTTTTCAGCAAGATATCTTCCAGAAAAACTTATTTCGAAATAGAGCATCCACACTACAGGGAAGCCTCCAAATTAGTCCTAGGCAGACTCCCCTAATGTGGACGAGCTACCTCGATTTAGAGCCCACGGAGGCACTAGGAAGGAATAATATAGAATAACCCTGGTGAGCAGCTATTTCAATACAGGCAGTCCCCGGGTTATGTACAAGATAGGGACTGTAGGTTTGTTCTTAAGTTGAATTTGTATGTAAGTCGGAACTGGTACATATTGTAGGGGAAACTCTAGCCAAACATTTCTCCAGAGCTCAGTTTTATTCTCACACACCTCACTTCGCTCAGTCCTTTATTCTCAAGCTGAGGTGTCTGCTGAGAAAAGCCGCTCCGCGTCTCCCTGGTCTGCTGGGGGGAAGCAGCTAGTGCGGGGCTGCTTCACCCCGTTTGTAAGTAGGGATCCGATGTAAGTCGGCTCCATGTAACCCGGTGACTGCCTGTATAGTAGCAGTGGAGCTTCTATACACACCCTCTTCCAAAAGGGCTTTTTCAGAAGAGGCATTATTCCTTGTGGAATGAGGTTTACCAATGTCAGAAAAACAGCCCTCTGTTATTTCGATTTTCTTTCAAAATAACTCAATTGCTGTGTGGACGCTAGTATTTTTTTTCTGGAATAACTTTGCAGTATAAATGTGCCTATAGTGTGATATGTTGGCAATTGTTAGGAGTAGAACTGGAATGATTGATCTGCTTGATGTTATAGAGTGTGTTTGATAAGATCCTTTTGTAGGTTTCATTATGGGAGTGGATGTATTTTAAATTCAGATTATTACTCTTGGGAAGGCTGCTTCTCTCCCTAAATGTCCACTACTTACCTTTGCCCAGACTTTAATCCCTCTATATTTCCCCTCAGAGCCCACCCCTTTTCATGCTTACTCCTTCACAAGAAGCAGGTCAGTTTTTAATTATAATAATTGTAAATATTGTTTTATATGCCTATGCAACTGATTTTCTAAATGTGCCTCCAGCTATGGCTGTGGCTAACAGGAAAAGGAGATACTAGCTTCAGCATTATCTGTGGTGCAGCAGCAGCCAGTGTTTCTCTATAATATTTGTATTTATAAATGCACACTATACCCACACTGGAAAAGACACAACTGAAGTTTCTCAAGTAATAGGGCTTTTTTAGCATGGGGTAAATGACACTTCTGGAAGGATCATCTGCCCCATCAACAAATCTGAAACAGGCTGTTGCATGCTTAGTTTCATTCCTAACAGTCTGCGCTGACTAAAAGTGGACCCTCCAGGCCATCATATTGCACTATTGTATGTCATATTGTAGTTACAAAAATGCAAAATATTTCCATTTCCAAGCAATGAGTGCAAACATTTTTCCATGATTTTTCCAGTGGCTTCACATGATAGGATCAAATCATAATGCAAACCATGTATTCAGCCATTCAGATCTAATTGAGTGTGTGTGTATCATTTCATAAACTAACAATGCCTTGCTTTATTATGTGGGTCAGAATAAGCCACTGGTTGGTCTCTTGCTAGAGCGCTTTGGTATATGGCAGTGTGAACCCTGGCATAGGAAAATCTCATTGTGGTTTGTGTACGATGTGAAACTGGTTACTTAAACATCATTGACCAAGGAAAGGAGCAATTATCTGTGGCTTTGACTCAGTTTTGTTCAGCTAGAACCATGTAATTAGGTGATAATTATGGCTATGGAATCATCTGATATAAGGATATATAAATATAGATTCTGGATGACTGTCACTACTTTAAAAATCTTATTACCTGTGGTTTTGTGAGACTTTTATAAACAATGCTTTCTGTTCAGGAAGTTTGAAGGTAGGAATTAATTGTTATGTAGCTAGTTCTCCATATTATCCAAAGTTCTTCTAGCCCCCCAACCTGAGGTAAATATTCACCAGGAACTACACGCCATATCACAGAAACACTAATCCAGGAACCAATCCCTGCAACAAACCCCACTGCCAACTCTGCCCACCTATCTTCTCAAGTGACACCATCATGAGACCTAACCACATCAGCTACATGAGTAGGGGCTCATTCACCTGCACATTTACTAATAGGATACATAGAATCATAGAATCATAGAGCTGGAAGAGACCACAGGAGGTCATCAAGTCCAGCCCCCTGCCCAAGGCAGGACCAATCCTAACTAAATCAACCCAGCCAGGGCTTTGTCAAGCTGAGATTTAAAAACCTCTAGGGATGGAGATTCCACCACCCTAATTGTTTTGGTTGCCCTCTGCTGGACCCTCTCCAATGCATCTACATCCTTTCTATAGTGGGGGGTCCAGAACTGGACACAATATTCCAGATGTGGCCTCAGCAGAGCTGAATAAAGGGGAATAATCACTGCTGTAGATCTGCTTACAATTCTGCTCCTAATGCAGCCTAATATGCCATCTCTGCCATGTATATTGGCCAAACCAGCTAATCTCTGACCCAAAGGATAAATGGGCACCAATCAGACATCAAGAATGGTAACATGCATAGACCAGTAGGACTGCATTTCAATCTCCCTGGACACTTAGTAACAGATTTAAAAGGGGCCATCCTTCAACAAAATACCTTCAAAAGCAGATTTCAAAGAGAAATTGCAGAGCTACCATTCATTTGTAAATGTGACACTGTTAGTCTGATTTTGAATCAAGACTGACAATGACTGGCTCACTGCAAAAGCAACTTTCCCTCTCTTGGGATTCTCACCTTCTCATCAACTGTTGTGAGTGGGACACATCCATCCTGACTGATTTGGCCTCCTTATCACTGATTCTCCAGTTGATATGGTAACTTCCTTCTTCTCGTGTGCTCACCAATTCATGCTGCCTCTGTCGTTTCACTCCATGCATTGGATAAAGTAGGCTTTTGTCCACTGAAGCTTCTGACCAAATAAATCTCATAGTTTTAAAGGTACAACGGGACTTCTCTTTATTTTTGTAGATACAGACAGACACAGCTACCCCTCTGATAAATGAGTGATTGTTGACCTTAGTAGTTAACAATCACATAGCTCAGTGAATGTTGATTATTTTTGTATATACGGAGCCCTATTTTAATAATTGTCAATGTAATTAGCATATAAGCCCAACAGAAATTAATTTTTAATTGAACAAGGAACTTGTTGTGGCTCATTATTGCTGTATTATTCCATTGGTTTTTGAAAGTTATAATGCAGCTTTATCCCAGGCTATTTACCAGATGAAGAGACGGCTCGGGGAACCTCACTAAGCTGGTCACTGCTCTACAGCCAAAATGCTTCTGAAATAAATGTAGTCAAACTTTACTAATTCTGGGTTACTGAGTACGAAAATGATGCTTAAAATTGTTGATTGGCTCTAGTTTTCAAGATATGCTATTGGATCAGTATATACGACCCTTGACTTGCGAATGGTAGAGGATAAGTGAGTTATAAAAGGAAGGGATCTCAATTTAAACAAGAAATGACTAAAATACATCTTTGACTGGATCTATGAATAAATCTATGACTGCGTTTGAACAGTACTGGCTTTTTAGGCAAAACAATGAATGATGCAATCTGAAGCTGGTATTGCGTCATACATGATATGAATTGCATCATGTTATTCCTAGAAGTCATGGATGATGCAATCATAACTAAGCTTACATCACTCTGCTGAACAAATTGCCCTATATCAGCTCTAGAAATCATACAGTGTTGTGCTCTGTTATTTGTCAGTGTTTGATTTTGCAAAGGGACACATTTCTGTTTAGCCAAAATGAACAGAGATGCTTTATACTTGTGTGAACAGTGCAGATAACTTCTGCTATGTTTGTGGTGAAGTGACTTTTGCATCACAAAAGCTCAGTATAACCACTATGGTTAAGAAAGCCTATCACCTTTATTTTGGCTGCAAAATTGGAGATCAGGACAAGAGGTGGGCCCCACACATATGCTGCAACACTTGTGCAACAAATCTTCGCCAGTGGTTGAACAGGAAAAGGAAATCTATGCCTTTTGCAGTGCCAATGATTTGGAGAGAGCCAACAGATCATACCAGCAATTGTTACTTCTGCATGGTGCCTCCAGTTGGGAAAGATGTGTCAAAGAAGAAAAAGTGGACTGTGCATTATCCAAACATTCCATCAGCTATACGCCCAGTACCCCACGGAGAAGGAC